GAGGCCCAGCAAGCCCACCACAGCCATCTTCCGGTTCTGTGGTCCTTGCTGCTGGTCCAGCAGCTGCTGCTGTTTCTCTGTCACTGGGCTCTGCTGTGGTTACGACCATTTCTCACCATCCTGCACTATCTTCAGTGTTACAGCTCTTTCTCTCCTGGTTATAGGAGGTTCTCAGCACAAGGTCCAAAGGATACACTCCACTCTATGCTCTTCTTGATGACAGTAAGGTCCTCCTCAACCTGTGTGATTGGTCCTTATGTAAGCTTACTGCTTGTCAATTTCAAAGTATGGTCCTCCCACCAGGACCACAAACTGGCCAATCCCCTCAGTAGACCAAAGTCACTCGATTTGCATCGTTCCAGCCAAGCCCCACAAGGCTATTTAATACTACTGGGTGGTTTTATGCACCCTATTTGTATAGTATAATAACTAACCTCTTTGCAACATTGTGGCCTAGCCAATCATTTTGGCAGAATTTGAAACTCAATGACAAAAAGGCTATACACAAGAGAACCCATCACACTGCAGGTGGCCACCGGCCACATGTGATTGTGAGTACTTGAAACGTGGCAATCTGAACAGAGATGTACTTTGTCTTATGTATCTTGGACATGTTATCAGGAGGGACCAGTTCCTAAAGAAGGACACTATGCTTGGTAAAGTAGAGGGTCTGCAAAAAAAAGGAAGACCCTCAATGAGATGGCTCAGTTGACACAGTGGCTGCAGCGATGGGCTCAAGCACAGCAATGACTGACGGTGGCACAGGACCAGGCAGTGTTTTGTTCCGTTGGACACAGGGTCGCTATGAGTCAGGACTGACTGAACAGAACCTAACAACAACAACTATGTGCCAAACCTTATAGCAAATGCCTGGGATGCCCTAATGAACAAAAATCCTTGCCCTGAAAATGTGAATCAAAACCGCAAGGAGATGTCACTTCACTCCCACTAGAATGGGTATGACTAAAAAAAAAAAAATGGAAAACAACAGGTGTTGGCATGGATGTGAAGAAATTGGAACCCTGGAGCCCTCGTGCATTATTGGTAGGACTGTAAAATGTTGCAGCTGCTGTGGAAAACAATTTGGTGATTCCTCAAAAAGTTAAACATAAGATGACCATATGATCCAGCAATTCCACTCCTACCTATCTGTAGGAGCTTATGGAGGGAACAAACACCCAGGGGCAATCTTTAAGAGAACCACACCCCACCCCGTTTCAGGATGAATAGATGTTAATAGCAGCAACTGTGTCAGCAGAAATGCCTCCCACTGCCCCCCTCCTCCCTCTTGTCTGGCTGCCTTAGTCAGGTGCCATTAATATTTGTGGTGCCTCAGAATGTCATTCTGTGCCTTATCTGGCACCCCTTTGGACTTGAGGCAGGAGGCAAGTGTGCACCCCTCAGTAGCCCCCTCCGCTAGTTTCTGGGTGTCTACCCAAAAGAACTGAAAGCTGGGACACAAACAGGTACTTATATGCCACTGTTGGCCACATCACTGTTCACAGAACCAAAAAGGGGGGCCTAATAATCCAAATGCCCACCAACAGATGAATGGATGAACAAAATGTGCTACAGGCATACCTCAGATACCGCAGGTTTGCGTCCAGACCACTGCAATGAAGTGAGTCATGTGGATTTTTTGCTTTCCCACTGCATATAAAAGTATGTACACACTACCCTGATGTCTATTAAGTGTGCAATAACATTATGAGGAAGCTTGAAATACGGTGTGAGTGACTGAATCGTGGCACAGAGACATGCAGTGGGCACATGCTGTGGGGAAAAATGGCGCCAATCAACTCTCTTGACACAGGAGTGCCACAAACCTCCAATGTGTCAAAAAACACAGTGTTTGTGTGTTGTTGTTGTTATTTGCCCTCAAGTCAGACCCAACTCATAGCAACCCCTCCTTGGGTGTCCAAGGCAGTATTACTATGGATAGTAGATTGCCTAACCTTCCTTCCCAGGAGTGGCTGGTGGGTTTGAACCGCCAGTCTTCTGATTAGCAGTCAAGTGCCTTAGGCATTATGCTACCAGAGCTCCCACAGTATTTGTAAGTTGCAGTAAAACAAGGTCTGCCTGTACATTAATGCAAAGGAATGTTATTAAAGCCATAAGGAGAAATGAAGTTGGGATGCACACTGCAACATGGAAGAACCCTAAAAACACTGTGTGGAGTGAAATAAGTCAGTCGCAAGAGGACAAATACTGTATGATCTCACTTATATGAGGTATCTAGAGCAGGCAAGTGTTTAGAGAGCAAAGTTTGTTAGTGGTCACCAGGGAAAGGGGGGAGGGCTGCGAAAGGGGGACGCACTGCTGAGGGGACACTAAGCTTCTGTTAAGGGTGATGAAAACGTTTGGAAACAGATAGTGGTGATGGTTGTCCAACATGATGAACATATTACTATCATGAATTGTACATGTAAAAATGCTGAAATGGCAAATGTTTCGTTCCATATATATTTACCCAAAAGAGCCCTGTCATCTTGATCTGATCTTCAATGCCCCACTCATTAGAGATACTGTGACCTATAACTGATGGTCCAAACTAGGACACTTCTGAGAGTGAAAGGAGGTGCTGTTGATAATTAAGCCTGATGAAAGACATAAAGTGCCGTCTCAGGCATATCGGGGCTTATCAACCTAGTTACATAAAACACAAACTTGTATGTCCATATAATGCAAAACCACTGTTACCAGTCATGAATAAGTGAGTAAAATAAAAGTCAATGCAAACAAAATAATGTCAAATTCTATCTGGAAAACTGACCAATGGTGAAATTCAGAGGCAGTAAATTTTGATGGAAGTAGATTGCCCCACCTTCCTCCCATGGATCAGCTGGTGGGTTTGAACCGCCAACCTTCTGGTTAGTAGTCAAATAATGCCTTAGGCACTATGCCACCAGAGCTCCTTAGCAGTAGCCTCAGGAACATAAACATCTTTTGTTCTGCTCTTTTACTTCATTGTTTCTTCTGTTTGCATCACATTTGGTAAAGCAGAGGTCACTGAAAAGGAAGGAAGCCCTCAAAGATGACACAACAGCTCAGAAGGCTCAGAGTATCAGTGACCATGAAGATGGTGCAGGCTGGGCAACGTTTTGTTGTCACACCTAAGGGTGCTGTGAGTCAGAGCCAGTTTGACAGAAACCACCACCAACGGGATGGGCAGGATGGGGATTGCCTGGTATGAGGGAACTTTCAGGGTGAGGGTCATGTTCAGCACCATAATTTACAGAAGTGGACTGCCACATCTTTCTCCTTCTGAGGGCTGATGGGTTCCAATTGCTGACCTTTCATTTAGCGGATGAGTGCCTCACCACTGAGCCACCAGGGCTTCTTTGCTTAGGAAAACCTATCGAGGCAGCTTTACTCTGTCACATAGGGTCACTGCAGTGCCTAACTAGGATCTCTGGTGGCTCGGTGGTTAAGGCACTTGGCTGTTAACTGATAGGTCAGCACTTGGAACTCACCAGACACTGGGAAGGAGAAAGATGAGGCAGTCTGCTTTTGTACAGATTTACAGTCTTGGAAAGTCCATGGGGCAGTTCTACGGTGTCCCATAGGGTCACTATGACTCAGAATCAACTCGATGGCAGTGGATTAGTGGGTTATGGTATCTAACAATAACTTGAGTGATAAATCTAGTCAGGGGAAACCAGGCTAAGGTGCTAAGGTACAGAGAGAGGGAAGAGGTTATGATGGATAGTGCCTGGTAACCAGTGAGGATTTATAAATACTCGTCCTTAAAAATTTTAGTACCGTAGAGTGGAAGTGGAGGGCTGGTTTTGTATGTGTTCAGGCAAACAATCTAATTAGTGTCAAAAGAACCCACGAGGTGGGTAGGTGCCCACAGAAAATAAGCGAGGAACAGAGTGACATGAATCACCAACGTAAAACTGGAAACTGCAATAGAAAGAGGAAAGTGGACCTCCAAGCGGAAAAGACCACGCTCAGGGACCTTGTCCTCGAAAACTGTAATTTATAGGAGGGAGGCAAGAGCAGAGTGCATTGACCTATGACGTCATCGGGGACGCCAACACCTCCTGCAGCGTAACATCACCTGGACGTAGCCCCATTGCCCTTCTCGGGCGGGTCCTCCGGTAGGTGGGAAAGATCTGAAGCAGCCTCTCATTGGCTTCTCATTCCGTCAATCCGTTTTATTCCTCCAGTCTTCCGCCCTGCCTTCCTGAGTTCGTCTCTGATAGGCTCGCACGTCCGTCATTTCAGAAAGGTCCGCATTCCTTCCGCCTTTCTCCAGGAGACAGAAGGCTAAGAGGGCGGATACCAGGAGGTACCCATCCCAGAGGCTCTGCTTGCGCCTCTGATTGGCTGCACTGGGTGGCAGTCGCTCCAGCGCCCGCCGCTGATTAGCCATTCGACCGCCGCTCTATGCCGCTCCGGCTCCGCCCCCGCTGGGTGTTTGTGGTGGGGCTGCGGAGTCGCCAATCCCGCCGGAAGCGCCAGGACAATGGGGACCCGGGACGATGAATACGACTACCTATTCAAAGGTGCGGTCGGTGGGGCACCGGCAGGCGAGGACGCGTCGGAGAGGCGGCAGGCAGGCGGGCCGAGGCTGCGTTCCAGGCCGTTGGGCCCAAGCTGGAGCCTGGGGCCTGGGACCCGGCGGGTCCGGCAGCCGGGAAGGCCGGATAGGCCTGACTCCCATCAGCTTCAGAGCGGAGTGCGCGGCAGCATGGAGCCGGCGGCCCTGAGAGGCCTGGGGGCCCAGGATGCGCCAGGGCGGGGCTGGGGCCCGGAGGGGTGGGGCCCGGAGGGGGTGGGGCCCGGAGGGGTGGGGCCTGG